TGGAAGAAGACTTACTCCTTCAAATATGACATAATACTATAAAAGAGTGAATATAGGCTAAAAATAGATTTACTGCATTTGCATTACTTCTCAAGAATAATGCAAATCAGTTTTAGTCGTTCTTCTCTGAGAAAACACTTTAAACTTGTCCACCTAAATCTGACGGATAATCTGTACCTGTCGAGAAGTTTAAACAACTTAAACTTGTCCATTAACGAGCAGTCAAACTTGTGGGAAGTAGTTTAAACATGAGATTTGAGGTGCATCGAGTTAAAGAACGGACAGGGGCTTCAGCAGTTCTAAGTTGCAGGTGACCGAAGCATTCAATTACGTACTTTCCTATTTCTTGATTGTCGATCTCGATGTCTATCTCGTCGAGCTGCAACGGTTCCATGGGTGGGATGCCGAGATCTGGAATACCGTAGGGCATCCTCGTGCGAAGTTTTTCCAGGAAACGCCTGAGTTTGAACTCCAAGCCTCTGGAAGCTGCGCTGTCAACTGTCCTTCGGTCGATTAGCCTCGATTAGCATTTAATTATAATACAGCTCCGGACATATTCGGATACTTACTGTAGCCGGTCGTCGCTCTGGTTGCGTTTATCAGCAGATTCCTCGGCCTCTCAACTGCGCTCGTTACTGAAACGACAATATAATATCTACTCTCATGCGATTCGGTTGGTATTTGTCAACTGCTGCAGGCTACAAGCGATTTTGCGTATGGTGATACTTTAAGCTATTTAGCATCGAGTATACAGGAAGTTTCAGAAAAAGGGGTGATTTTTTAGGTGTTTCTGAATAATAATTTCCTTTGGCAGAATGCAAGGTGAGCCATGGTTTCGGAATTATTGACGAAAAACGCTGACCAATGAGAGCACGCGTAGGCCCCGCTCAGCCAATAGACCGTTGGCTCGTGGCTCGTTAAGGACGTTAGTCCCGCTCAGTTGGTCTCAATCATTTCAGGTGTTGCCACGTAGTGGAACACATATTAAATAGAAACAAATGGTTGAGAATCTTTGGCCCTCTAATACATCGTACAGCGTATACATACGCACTTACACAAGCTTACACNTAGACGTATATCATTCTATTAGGAGATGGAGCAGCGTGAAAATGCTGTTGGATTAAATTACGACGTACTGTACTCGGTTGCTGTGTCCGTAACGCGGTCTATCAGTCGTTTCTGTTGTCGCATGATTCCCGACACTGGAACAGATGATTAAACGCACAATTTCATCTGGAACAGCTCCCAGTTTACGGGAGATCGATCCGGTTGTTAACCAAATTCTGTGCATTCCACGGCCAATTTAATTACTTTTCGACAGAAAATGATACTGAAATTATTCTTCATTGAGAAACGACGCAGTAATGGAACATAATACAAGCGGGACGAAGTCTATAAAAGGAAGAATATTTATCTGGCATTTACTATCAGTTAATAATGGAATATTAATTCTGAAATCAAAACCGAAGGGTTCAGTAAAGAATAATGAAAATTCTA